TTCAACCCTTTCCAGTCTAGCCTTTCACTTTCAGCATAGTATTGAATTTTGCTTTTACATTTGATAGATCTGGGAAAACATTTGATATTTAGACTAATCCCCACACGTACCTCCTAACAATTTCAGGACTCAGAGACTACAATCCGTTGCATATATTTCCTCCCCAATCAAATTTCCCTAAAGCTTTCCTAAAGCTCATGCAATGTTTCACCCTATACTTAGGATGAGTTTTGCCACACTCAGTTTTCACACTCTCGTTTTCACCAACACTCACAACATCTCCACCTCCTCTTCTGGTACTAATGTATAAATAAAATATAGCAAAACACTTTTAAACTCCCAGCAGACCCCTCCAAATCCCAACCCAAAATTATACACACAAAATCCCAACCAAGTAACAAACAATAATGATTTCTCAAACATCTCAATCCCCATCCAGGAGCTTCCCCGAGGTAGCTGTGTTAGTCTGTTGCTGCAAAATAGTCCAAGAGTTCAAATAGCACCTTTAAGACTAACAAATAGCACCTTTAAGACTAACCTTTAAGACTAAGACTAACTGAGTGGTGGGTGTGGCCTTATGACACACTTCTGGTGATGGCAGGGGGTGTGGCCTTATGACACACTTCCAGTGATGTCAGGGGGTGTGGCATGTGCTAATGAGTTATGCTAATAAGTTCCCCTAGCTCTTTTTCTACGAAACGACCCCTGCACTTACCCCTCTTTTTTTCTCAGCATGCTCAGAACCACTTAGCAGCCTGCTTTCCACCCTAGAGTTAACTCCCACTGGCCACTCCCTATACAAGGTTAACTGCATGGCTCTTAGATTCAGGTGGGAAGCCATTTAGGTCTGAAGTAGCAGAACAAAGTTTGAGTCCAGTGGCACCTTTAAGGCCAACAAAGTTTAATTCTGGGTATCAGCTTCCATGTGCAAGCACACTTCGTCAGATACAGTGAAACAGAATTTCCTCAAAGCCTACATACAGAAAGATGGGGGAGCAGCTATCAAGAAGGGCCATTCAGAGCCAAGATGCATAAGTAAAGCTAAGATTGTATCAAGGCAGCTGGTAAGATCAATGAATGGCAGCAAATTAGCACACAAATGTGAGAGCTAGCAAGCATATGTGAGGATCTCACATACCTGCCTAACCCTGTTTAAGCTTTCCCACATAAAGTAACATTTCAATATCCTTCTTTTTAATACTATATATTTCTTAGTATTATTGTTGTGCCATTTTCAGTTGAGTCAAAGCTACAGTACTTGTGATATAAATTAAGTGCTAGAGTTGTATAGCCCTGTCTCTTTCAGAAAGGAACAGCATGCAGGCAAAGCACATTGGAAGTAGAAACCAGTATGTAAGTGTCCTGCAGGGGCAAGGAGTTGTCAAGCTACACTACTGTCCCACTGAGAAAATGAAAGCAGACATATTTACCAAACTGCTACCAAGAGACAAAGGCCTGCGAGACAACCTGAACATTGTGAACCTTGCTGGCATCGAGAGGGAGTGTTGGAATTAGCGACTCAGCATGCCTGGACATTGGGGGTGGGGGTGCTACATCACTCTAAATTTGTATAGGTGTTATCTCCTTGAATGGGATGCCTCTCTTGTCTTAACCTAGGAGCTGCCCTCTGACCCCTCCTCTCAGGGCCGGTGCTTCCATAGAGGTGAACTAGGCGATTGTCTAGAGCACCAGGCTTCAGAAGGATGCTGGCCTGCCGAGCAGCAACACGTCCTGCACCCTCGCCTACTGCACCCCTCCTCCCTGCCCCAAAACTTGGTGGCACCGTCACCACTGCACAGGGATCCCCAAGGCAGGGCGGGTGGGGCAGAGCGGTGTGTGCGCCCCCACATGCCAGGCGCTGGAGCTGGGCCAGGCGAGCTATGGAGAGCCCCAGCCCGGTAGGACATGTGTGTTGCTCCATCTGCCAGTCGCCGCCACCCACCCTCTTTCTCTCCCTGCCCTCGCCAGGCGCCAGGTCTGCTCTCGCCGGATTACCTTGCTGCCGGCTGGGAGGTGCCTCCTGCTGCATGCGCTCCTCCCCTGGTGGCCCTCTGGCAGCAAGACTCACCCAGCCCACACTGCCACTGCAGCAGCAGGCCCCGCCGGGGAGCACAAGAACTGGGCCTTCGACCAGGAAGTGCCTTATGTCCCCTTGAAGGGGAGAGTTCCCTGAACCTGAAGGTATATGATATCTGGTGTTCCAGACCTTATTTTGGGTGCAGAGGGCACTTCCTTATTCAAATCTCCTTTGAAATACAGGCCTCTTGTGGCTCCAGAACCAGTGTTTAGACCAGGCAGTGCTGTATATCCTTGCAGGGAACAGTCCCCAGAGTGTGGGTATGTGTCACTTGGGGTAGTCCAAAGATTTTTTGAGGGTGTAGTCTGGCCTCAGTGTCTGCCTGTGTGATTGTCCTGGGGGCACCTCACTTTGGATTGGCTGACACAAGAACTGGGCCTTGGACCGTGAAACAGCACACATCCCCCTTGAAGGGGAGAGTTCCCTGAATGTTCGGGTGTGCGGTGTTCCAGACCTTATTTTGGGTGCAGAGGGCACTTCTGCCTGTGTGATTGCCCTGGGGGCACCTCACTTTGGAGTGGCTGACACAAGAACTACCTTGCCTTTCCTGCCAGCCTTTGGACCAGGAAGTGCCATATGTCTCCTTGAAGGGGAGAGTCCCCTAAACATGGGGGTGTATGGTTGTCCAGACCTTATTTTGGGGTTCAGAGCTTTCAAACTCTCCTCAGTGTTTTAGGTTGAATTCATGAATAAGTCACAAATAAGGAATGAATAAGGAACTGGGAATAAGGAACCAACTTCAGCCTCCTAGAACAGGTAGATTTCAAAGAAACTCACAAGGTCCTCCAGAATTTGCTCTCGCGCTTGAGTTGTAAGAAGTGCATTCTTGCTATGGCACACACTTGTTGTCTCCAGAGTTGTGTGCCACTTACTGTAGACCTTCCTACATCAGAGAGCAATAGCAGATTTTGTTCCATTTCGTCAGCACCGCGTCTTTCCTCTTTTTGCTCTCTGTGAGAAACTCCATAATCTAAGACAGTTTTCAAAATGCAAAATCAAAATGTAATAGTAACATTATACAAACTGCTTTGTCCCTTGCCTGTCTCTTGCACTACTGTTTTCTGCCTTCCCCAGGCCCCCTTGGCCACCATCAGCATTGCACTGCTCATTTGCCACCCATACTACATATTACATTGGCCATAATTTCACAACTGGAACTTGCAGATATATGGCAGTTGCAAGTTCTTCGTGGGAACTCTATTTAAAAGTGTCTTTCCTCTCCTCACGCTGAGGTTTTGACTAGAATGAGGCACCTTTGGCGACAATCACATGGGCCTTTGGATCCAACATAGGAGCGAATGCCTGATGGATCTAAAGGGAGCAATCAGACAGGAACATCTGGGAAGCATTCCACAGTCATTGGCAACCTGTGCTGCTCCACTACGGAAGTGAAGTTAAAAGACACTGGGGAAAGTCCAGTAGTAAATGGGTTCCAATGGCCCATGGATGGACTTTCCCCTGTCTGATTGCTCAAGCACGCTCTCAAGCTGTTGGAATGGTCTGATTAGGCCATCCCGGCTTGGTGCCATTGTTTTTCTCCCTTTGCAGCATGTGCATCATCGCATACTCCATAGGGGACCCTCAGTGCGGAGGTGCGATTCCTCGTTTATGCACAAGGGAAATAAACGGGTGGGGGGAAATGACTCACTCGCAGTTGTATCTGATCACACAGTGATGGGGTGCGCCCGCAACTACAAAAGGTGTGATCTCACAACTGTGTGTCAAATTCCTCTGAAGGGAATAGCCTCGCTTCCCCTCCACTCCAACTAGCGCATGTGACCACAGCCTGTGGTCCATCTTAATAGAGTGTCCATGTAACATCCTGCTACAAGTCCCCATGGTGATTTCTTGGACAATTTAACATGCAGTTTGACCTCCAGTTTCCTCTCTGATCTGAAGAACTGGGAAAGGAAATTGTGGTATCCTCAGACTGGTCTTTTTCTGCCTGTGTGTGATCCCCAGCCTCATAGTTTCCCAGCCACAACAGTAATCACTTCCAAAAAGTACTGTACCTTCTTCGAGTGTTTCATTATCCTCCAGCTTCAAGAAGACATCTTCCATAGTTGTCATAGTAACTCCATAATTAACAATCCCAAGATCTGTCTCATGGTCCATGTCACAAAACAGATCTACAGAAGGGGGGAAAACCCACATGCCTGACTATGTTTTGTACTTTAAGATTAGGATCCCTGAGTTTTAGGCTGTGATCAGATGTGCAGTTTGACCCATTGTTACTGCTGTTCCCTTACAGATTTAAAATGCACAATCAGACAGCAACATCTGTCTATCGTGCCCCAGTCGTCTGAGTCCCATTCCCCCCCTTTACTGCGTGTTTCTTTGATGACTGTGAAAGTCCAGTCCTGTTGGTCTGAGCTGCTTCCAAAATGGATTTTCTCTGTTGCACACCCAAGCCATTCAGCAGGTCTGACTGGTCTCTTGTTTTCTGGCCACCATTTTTTTAACTAGTTAATGATGTGTGTACAACTGCATATTCACACCTCTCTCCCTCTCCCACATGGGCTGCTCAAATTTTTGTTTTCTTTATAAAAACTATCAAAGAAAGACACCGCTGTACTTCAGTTTTTTTTCTGTGCTTTGGGGAAGGGGTTAATCGAAAAATGTAGAGAGGGAGGATGGCAGTGAGCTACATATCCCAGTAGGCTCATCAGTGCTTGTGTGCATGCTCAGAGGACAAACTTTTTAAAAAAATGGCTGATGGCCCCATGAACTGCATATCTTGGCAGGCTCATCAGTGCTTGTGGGTATACTCAAAGGACAAACAAAGAAAAAATGGCCAACGGCCTCACTCCCAGGCTGCTGGTCTGATCACTCAAGGAGGGGGTAAAAGCACTTTAAAGAGTGCTAAAAGGTGTGAGTCTGATCATGATTCTCTGTTACAAAATAACCTGGATCAATTAGAGGCAAGACAACAATGGATAGAAATGCCCATCTGACTGCAGCCTTAGTAGAATCTTGTAAGATTCGTTGCAATTGAAATTTAAAAAGAATAACATTTTGAGAAACAAATCATTAAATACATAATGAATTCATGCATAGAAGAAAAGTAACTCAGTAATTTTGTATTCTTACTCATTTTAATGTATAATTACCTGGAAATTTATCCACATTTTCCAAGGGCAGGGTATAAACCAGCTCACGTTCACGCTGTCCTGATAATTTGGCAGCAGGACTGTATTGTTTTACAAGGGACATCACTTTCTCAGAGTCACAAAGCTCGTTTACTTGCATCCTGTTCATATTGAAAATGCATTTAGCCAAACTCTAATTGTCAGATCTTGCACAGACTGACTGATAAAGTTTTTTGAATCAGCTATCCAAGAACTAGTTCAAACCCACAAGGTCTCAGATTTGTATAACTGGAGCAAAAGAAACATGTGTCATCTCAGTATTTCTAAAGCAGTGTCTCCCAAATTTTGTGAGATTATGGGCAAAACTATGCTTTACCAAAATTACTAGAAATTATCAAAACAAAAGGACTGTTGCTAAAAGCAGCATCCACATATATATTTTCCCTTTCTCTTTGAAACGGCATGTAAAATTATCTAAGGTCTTAGGTCTTCATGTTGTGCAGCTCCACTTGACCAAACAGCTAATGATGTGGGGCATGGAAACACACCCCAGGGTAAACTACCTATGTATCTAGTGGTGGGGGAGGGTTTCTAGTGTCAGATGTCTTTGTGTTTCATAGTACTAAAACATCCAGAATTTGAAAATACACTTTGACATGAAGCAGAATGTTTATTTTGCATAGATTCACCTCCCCCCTTTTCATACTGAATAACTTACAACAGAATGGTTCCTTTACAATGCTATACTTTCTT